TAGAAAACTCTAAGAGGCTTTTCAATAGTGAGCAGGGTTGGGTGTGTGAGGGAGCTTTAAATACTGAAGGGAGAGGAATGTGGTTGGATAATTGGCTCAGGAGTGCGAATCTGTGGAATCAGGTGCCTGTGGGAATGTTATGGGTTCAGGTAGGAGTGAGAGCGTGAAACAGTGGGTTTGGGAATGTAGCGGGGTTTGCGAGGGCGAGTGCGGGACGTGACAGAACTTGCCCCATCATCCTGTGACCTCCATGTTTTCCGAGTGTTCGTGTTTTCCCCCTTCCCTGGGATTTTAACCTTGTTGCATCCCAGGATGGATTAATTGTTTATGGACTCTTGGACTGTGCCTTGACCTGCCTTTGGACCTGCTCGGATTTGGATGGCATTCCTTGTCTCCCTCGCTCACTGTCTCACGGATGGTCAGTGTTATTTTGTGCACCATTAAACCCCTGTGTGTTCTCCGATACCACGCCTCCTGTTTACTCCAGCTCTTACTGCATTGCATAAGGTCTACAACAAGACCCGACACGGACAACAGACACCGTGCGTAACAGGAGGAGAGGAACCAAAAACTCCTTAGTAAGAAGAAAAAATTAATGAGGGTATTAATCTATCCATCATGTCTTCTGTATGTCAGTACTCCATGCAGATCTCTGTAGACCAGCAAAACCCTCCTAAACGATAACTATAGCCATGATACCCCTCTTGAATTCATGGCAGTGATACATCATCCAACTCAGATGGTGCCCAGCCTGGGAACCATCTGGACATGTGAGGAGGAGAATAGGATAGTTTGGTCTGAACAGATGTATCTACCTGGTGGGCCAACACAGAGACACACAAAGGCATGTTCAGAGGCACCAGTAGCCATAGTTGCAGCAGGCTACTGTCACGCCCTCTACAGTTAGAGGATGCTCCTACTCTGTCCTGTCCCTAGTTTCCTGTGCCTTGCTTCTCATTCCGTCTCTGTCTGGGGCTATATATTTTCGGGTCATGCTTTCCTCCTCGCTCAGCATTGAGGTTCAGATGTCCTGAGACCCGCCTAGCACCAGGTCACCCCACATCCGTGGCCTGAGGGCATAGGTTTCTATACGACTCCTGAACTGCTG